CCAAGTCTCCTCTTTCGAATGGTGAAAATTGAAGCTCTTTAGCTTTTTCCTATCGAAAGTTATTCAAAAAACAGTCATATACCATATTCTTTTTTTTGAATGGACAATAGTTCCAATATTTTGTTAAAATATCAAAATTTCAGATAAATCAGTTTTTTGAGGCTTCTAGGACACTTTTTTAAAATCTCTACGAAAATTCTGATATCAGCAAAAATAGTATGGATTCTAACAATACACACCTTAGGTTATTCAACCATGTGCCCAGTTTAATATCGATTTTTTTTATGAAGAAATCTGTATTTATTATAGGAAAGACGGGTGACTTAAACAAAAAAAGCATTGAAAAGTCTACTTTAATTCACCAATGATAAAAATTCAAGTCATATTAGATAGACATACTAAAGTCCTTCATTAATTCTTTTTTATATAGATAAAAAAACACTTGTATACGTTTGAAAGTAGAAGAACGAAAACATGCACATTTAATGTGACATTATGTTTCATGCTGTATTGAATAAAACTCTTTCTCTTCTGTGAATATAAAAACAACATTCGATTGATTTTGAGAAAAAAAAACGAGTGACATAACAGTTTAAAAGTGAGTAATGTGTACAAAAATTATATATAACAAAAAATAAACGTATTTGTTTTTTTAGCATATTGTCAAAAAAGTATTCACAGTTTTGAGAAATAAAACGGTAATGGGTTCTAACATGTGCACACGTGCAAGAACAAAAAGTTTTACCGCAATTCCACAGGTACGGTATCTGATTCAAACATGGCCTTGAAATAAAAAATATCGTCGATCGCGCTCGCTCCTTTGGAATGGAATTGCACAAAGGTACCATCAGTTTTTTACGCGACTCTCTCACTTATTTCCTCTTTTTTTCATACCTCCATATGACCTATCGAATGGCATATGAACGAAGGAAACCGGAAGGGGACGCCTCAGAGGATTCCCTCGTAAGCATCAGCAGGTGAAGATTTTGCAGTCTTTTCATTTCGATCATAGATACCAGAGAGATAGACAGTTTTCTTGTACTGCAGTTTCCTGGATGTAAGGATGTAAATCCTAAACTAAAAACACTAATTTAACATAATAGATAAGTGCAACAGAAGTTGAGCATATCTTAACACAACGGGATATCTTTTGAAAAATTTTATTTTACAAATTTAAGAGGAAGAAAAGAAAATATCAGATACCTGTTAGCAAGAATGAATGGGAATCTTCTCAATTCGAAATGCACAAGCTATTTATGTACGATGAACAGAGAGAGAGAGAGAAAAGGAAAATACCCATAAAAAGAATTACTGATGACACGATAGTAGATATGGGTGGAATCAGGGTTTTTCAATCCTGATCCTGGTTTCGGAAATTTTCTAAAAAATGTATATTTAAGTACGAAAAAACGGTAAAATTTGAGCTGTTTTTACAAAATTGTCAAAAAAAATTCTTGGTTCCAATTCCGATTCCCTTAAAAATCATTTTTAGTCCCCGTGTTGGCCCTCTTCATATTGACACGATAGACAATGATAGGAAAATACAGTTAGTGGAAAAAATGTTCGTACGATGAAAGACAAAAAATTTGTAATGCTGTTATCTCCTGAAAGAAGAAGGATAGGAAGATGTCTTTTTTATCATTCGATAGCCCTATATCCCACCTTTATCCCTTGTCAATAGCAGATTTTTATCTCGAATTCTTCTATCAAACGATAGAAGGTTTTAAGTTTGAACTACTTGTTTCGTTCGTTTTGTTTATAAATACCATTTGAAAGTGCAAAGTTTTGACTACATGATGAAAAAATAAAATATGAAAAATAATTATAGCGGACAACTGAAAATTGTGTTTTAATTAATTAATCAAATTTTACACAAAAATTTGTTGGTCTACGTAAAACACATAAAAAAATAACGTTAAATATATCATTGAATAGCATCATTCTACTATTCAGCAGCCTTTTACATCTACATTGTGCCAACATAGACAGAAAGAAAAAAACTAAAGAGAAAAATATTGTTCTATGTTATGTAAAAGTCTGTTGATTAGCAGAATGATGTACCATTAATCAGCCATTAATTATTTTTAAACATAAAACAGTTCATATTGTATTGTTTCAATTAATACGTTGACTGCCAAAGTCAAAAAAGAAACGAAGCCAAATGTATCATCGGTGATCTATTGACAGCCAACGTGTTAAACCATAACAGATACGTGTAGTTTTTTAAGCGCTATCCAGTGATATAATTAACGTTATTTTTTTATGTGTTTTACGTAGACCAACAAATTTTTATGTAAAATTTGACTAATTAATTAAAACACAATTTTCAGTTGTCCGCTATAATTATTTTTCATATTTTATTTTTTCATCATGTAGTCAAAACTTTGCACTTTCAAATGGTATATATAAACAAAAAGTCTCTCTGTTTGATAAATATCCAAATTGAAGTGCAAAAGTGATCGTACAAACACTTATTGAACGAAACAAATAGTTCAAACTTAAAAACCTTCTATCGTTTGATAGAAGAATTTGAGATAAAAATCTGCTATTGAAAGGGATAAAGGTGAGATATAGGGCTATCGAATGATAAAAAAGAAATCTTCCTATCCTTCTTTCCTAACTAATCATAAGAAATCTAAATTGATTAGAAAGCAAAAGTTTCGAAAAGTAATACTCTTGCTATTCAAGTTTGGTGAGAGAATTGTGGACTGATGATTAAAGAATGTTAAAAAACTAGAATTAAAAAACAAAATTGAATGGAGAAACTTCCATTTTGCTAAAGGGAAAAAGACGAAAAATGTCTATATAATAAAACAATTACCCCACATTGCTATGACACTTTTGACGTTAACATGTTAAATAAGTGAAGAAAGTGATTTGTGTAGAAAGAAATCAAATATATGAAATATGAGTTACACCTAGAGCAACTTAAAATCGCACAATCGTATTTTCACAATATTGTTATTATTTGGTCTTTCAAAAGCTAGAATGCATTGAACATTAGACACTTTTTGCTTTTTTATTACGGCAACACTGTTCCACAATAGTTGTATTATGACCTTTTCATAGATAAACAAGCTATAATTTTGTGTTTCACTTAATTTGAAGTTATAAAAGTATCACGATTAGTCAAGAACTTTTATATTGTGTAAATACTTGAACGGTAATCATTTTGCAGTTTTTGTTGATTTAGGCATACCTTAAATTTCATAAATTCAATCTTTTTCTACACAATGTCTTATCCATAGCAGCTGTCATTATCATTTTTATTTTCTCTTCCACAAATATTAAATTTCGTCTTGCAATTACAGGCACAAATCTGTTTATCATGCTTTGTCTTTCACAGAACCCAACTGACGAACCAAAACAATCTGAAGCCTGTCGATGTAATACACCGACCACCGTAAGACGGTCATCACAACCACAACAAGGCCCAGAACAAACCTTAAAAGATAATACAGCAGAAACCTCAAAAGAGAGTACAGCAGCCAAGTGGCTTAATACCAGCGTAAAACCGGACAATATTCCCTACGAAAAACCACCCGAGTCAGCTATTAATAATCTTGAACTTTTTGATAAAATCTGTGGCTCAATGATCGGACTGGCCATTGGTGATGCCATGGGTGCTCATGTTGAATTTCGTCCTCGAGCTTTTTTGGAACAAAACCCGGTGAATGATCTAAATGGCGGAGGGACCTGGAGTCTAGAAGCTGGTCAATGGACGGATGATACATCCATGGCTCTTTGCCTCGCGGCTAGTCTTATCGTTAAGAAAGGTTTTAATGCGTACGATCAACTCGTCCGATATAAATGGTGGTGGAGACAAGGTTACATGTCATCAACTGGTAAATGTTTTGACATTGGGAAATCAACAAAAGCATCCCTCGATCTATTTGTTAGCAGACAACATAAATTTCAAGAACAACACAAGATAGGCGACTTTAAACAACTTGATTCATTATCTGATGAGTTATCAAAACAATTCGATACAAATTGTAGTAATAAAAATGTTGATAGTAACGGTGCACTAATGAGACTCACCCCCGTCGTTCTGTTCTATTGTCAGTCAGAATCGGGGACATACGCCATTCATTTTGCTGGTGAAAGTGCTCGAATCACTCACGGTGGAGAAAAAGCAGTAGATGCCTGTCGTTACTACGCCTCCTTAATCTATGCTGTTATTAAAGGTCGGTCCAAGGCAGAGATACTAGATCCACTATTCTACAAACGTCATTTTGACATGGGTTGGTTTAGCGATAAACAATTACATCCAGACATCGCACGTGTTGCTGAGGGATCCTATCGACAGAAAGACAGAAATGAAATAAAAGCGGGTTCCATGGCCGAAGAAGCACTTGAAGCAGCACTGTGGGCTTTCTATAATGATGACGATTCTTTTCGTGTTGGTGTCCTTAAATGTGTGAATTTAGGTGATGATACAGACACTGTGGCAGCCATATACGGTCAGTTAGCTGGAGCTTATTATGGAGCGGGTCAACTTCCTATGAAATGGATACAACAAATATACGCTAAAAACTTTATTACCTGTATAGGAGATTGGCTTTGTTATGAGGGTGCTCAATGGTGGCAAACCAAAAAAACGAAATAGTTAAAAGACTAATCTTGCATTTATCAACAAAATCACAAATTAATAAAACGTTACATTCTTTATTTAAAGTCGAGACCAATACTTATCACAAATAGTGAAGTATTATTACTGAATAGATCTTATTTAACTTATTAAAACGTTTTTAAGGCAATCACTACATGAACTTTATTTTAACAAACTATCAAAAATATTAAGATAAAAACATGTTTGTTTTCTCTCAATTTTATATTTAAGTTGTAGTGCATAGGTCTGATAACTCATTCAAACCTTTAAAAATGCATTTTAGTTTTATTAACACGTTACTAAAAAATAGTATCGAATAGCGGATTAAACAAAAGAAATGAATTAGATATAAACCGAGATTGATTACAGGCAACGTTAGTGCACAAATTATATGTACGATATTTCTGTGTCACACTTACCGCAAATGTTAATTTTGCCACCGGTATATGCAAGATAATGTTTAATGCGTATTTTCGTATATCTTCATAAGTATCCCATAAACAAGAAAATATGTTTTCTACTAAATATTCATCCACGTAATCGCTAAAATGATACAATTCGTATGTACCTAAACAAAAAAACAAAATATAATTGGCACCATCGGTTGATTTCCTCAAAGTGGCAATTATTTCCATTACAAAAAAATAAAATAGAAAGAACACAACATTTCAATTCATGAACTGACAAGGTAACCGATACATATGCTAGAAAAGCTCAGTGCAGTACTGAAAAAATCATAGAGCCACTGTATTTTTGAAATTTTTCGATGAAGTCGAGTGGCTAGGTCAAATCTGAATAGTGATTTAGATAGCCCTTAAAGTTCTCTATCAACTGCAGTATGCATTAAAATTCCAGAAAAAAGGTTTTGAAGAAACTTTTCTAGAAAACCCTCTCCAGTGAAGCTCTAAGTCCTAGACAATTTTACTAAAACTATTTTCAATATAGCCATCCACAAGAGCATAAAATTCTAAAGAAAACGAAGCGTCGAACAGCTCTCTACGATCTTTCGTTTCAAAGTTACCGGCATCAGAAAATCCAGAGAAATGTACTTCTGCTTGTTTTTTTAGGCAAT